TTGGCGTTTGTCTTTCTCTGAGAGATTAACTTCTCTTAATTGATAATAGACGAGAGAGAGAGAGAGACAGAGAGAGATCAAAGCAAGTCTCTCTTTAAGAGAAAAAAAATTCATATTTCGCTTATCATCATCTTCTGATGGATGGGTGTTCCATATTCGACTTTGTTGTTTTTTAAGTATTTTCTACATGGTTTGCTTGATTGCATGAATGACATCAATTTATACGGACATATGGCTCTGAGTAAACTCAATGAGGTCCACTCTGAGGACAATATGAATAACGAAATAACAAAATTTGCACTTAAAATATGACAAATTGCTTGTGACGTTTAGAAGGTCTTCTTATGGAAATATATGAGCAAAGACATATATATTTTGTTACTTGTAAACATTTAAATTTTATTTTTAATAATTAACTTGAAAAAAAATAAATAAATAAAATATATAGTGGGAGACGGCTTATCCTTCGATACTCTACACCACTTTGCTATTCATTTAAAAGATCTCCTATTCATATAATGTAGGACTTGTTTTGGGAAAATGAAGACTTATTCAAAAAATGGGTTCCATTCGAAAGGTTTTCAATATCGCTCGTCGTTGTTAGTGTAAAGTACGTTGGTGTGTCAAAATTGATCAATACACAGGCCTCACAGGGAAATATATGGCGGAACTTGGACAGGCAGACAGACAGACAGACAGATAGACAGACAGACGGACAGTTTCGATTGAATCGATCAAATCAAAAAAGGTAAGTTTAACCTAAGGTATAAACAACGTAAAATTGAAAAGTAATTTTTGTAAATTTTTTAAAATTAATTTCGCTCAATAAACTGTAAAGAAAAATATTAAAGTAAAGATTGGATAAAAATAAAAATTCATTAAAATTGTCATAACATCGTAGTTGATAAATTTCTGTCTCTACTCGTTTGTGACTCTTTCTATGATTTTTATTATCATTCTTTCGCTGTTGTCGTCGATTTGAAAAGAAGAAAGATAAACAAAAAAAAAAAAAAAAACAAAAAAAAAGAAGAAGAAGAAGGACAGAGAAAAAGCTCGGAAAGAAGAAAAAACATTATTTATGAATTTGTTTTAAAGTTTACTTGCTCGACTACATTGATGACAACGTCAACAAACTGCAGCAAAACTATCATCATTAGCAGCAACAGCAGCTTTGGTTAGACACGATAAGCAATATAAGAAATAAGAAAAAAAAAAAATGAACAGACTAGTCTGAGAGATAGATAAACAGGCAAGCAAATGGATAGATAGATAGATAGATAGATAGATCGATAGACAGACAGATGGACAGACAGACATACCGACAAACAGTTAGTCAATAGATAACAAATTATTTTACATGTTGTTGCATGCGATTAAATATAAGACATTCGTTTATAGAAACGGAATGTTGAGAGGGAAAATAAAAATATTTCTTACAAAATAATTAAAATAAAAATTTGATTAAGAAAAACATGAAATTCTAGAATAATTCAGAATTATATTAAAATGTATCGAAATTCTGAATAGTAATTATATATGAAAATTTACACCGAGATTCTCTCGAATAGAAAGAATAAAAAAAAAAAAGAACAACAACGAGAAGAGAAGCAAGCAAACGTTAATTAATTACAAGAAAAAATATTAGAAGAACGAATCTATGTATGTTTATAATGACTTTGGATTCGCTTTTTTCGCTTTCAAAATGCGGGAGCCATAGTTTAAAAAAAGTTTATACAGTGCGCGCGATTGCAATTGCACGCTTGTACTGCTGCTAATGATGATGATGATGATGATGATGACGATGATGATAATAATGCTGCGCGACGACTCTTGAACTTTACAAAACGGTTACAATGGCCGCGACTGCTGTGCCAGTTTCAAATTTGACCACATTTGTAAAAACTTCAAAATTTTGAACATCATAATGTTTACGTTATTTCTTTTTTTTTGTTTTTTTCTTACTCGTTGTACCCTGGTGTGATACGCTGATGTAGATAGTGTTCATTAATGTATCCGTTTTTTTTTTCTTCTTTTTTTTTCATTAATTCACTTCTTCATAAACTTTGAACGACGACGAGATCGTGAAACAAGTTTTAAAGATTTTTGTATATTTCTTTTTCAATTTTTCTTGTTTTGTTATAAAATTAAATAAAATATGTCTGGAAAAAGATGTTTTTTTTGAAATGTAATATCAATTTGTTTGTAGAATTGTTGTGTCTATATAGTAAACGTTTCTTATTTATTGAATCCTTGTAAAAATCATGGTCAACATTAAAATTTATTTTGGCACATGTTACGTATAACGCATTATTTATATGGTGTTGAGTGTTATTATACCAAAAAAACAAAAAAAAAACAAAAAAAAAAAAAAAATACAAAAACAAAACAAAATGAGAAAACAAAACAAAAAGAAAAACGTTGAAGCAGAAAACCTCACTGCTTTTGCATCAATCGCTCTGCAATGAATTTCAACTTGTCAACGCTCTACATAAAGATGGACACAAGTAGTTTAACTTTGTCGGCTCGTTTGTAACACCCACACCTATGCTGTCTACAAGGTCCGTAAAATGCATACAATTTGAAAATCGGGCAAAATTTTGACAAATTCTACTCGATAGAGTTTCTCAGAGACCAAGAAAAAAGAGTGAAAATTTTCTTTCTCATAAAACGATAATGATTTCGCAATAAGATGATATAAAGTGCTCAGAGTCGGGCTACGAGTGCCGTCCAAATTTTATACACTCGCCGAAACTAGTTCTTAGTCTTCCTTCGTTACTTTTGCGTTCAATCCCATACAAAGTGAATTCTTTTACCGTTGGTTTTCCATATCAGTTTTAATTCTAACCAACTTGTCCAGCTAGTGAGAATAGATCGACAAACTTCCTGCTGACCGCTTCATTCCATTTTAGACTTAAGTTATTTAATTTCTGTTTGACACTCCATGTATTTTTATATAAATTAAATTATTATGGAGATGGATATGGATGCACAATTCCTGATAACGGATCTGTCGATGCTCCTTAAAGCTGAAAATTTTTCGGATAGAGAGAGAGAGAGAGAGAGAGAGAGAGAGAGACATGTGAAAACGAGCCTCATTACTTAGAATAATTGCAGCTAAGCAATGATGAAATTGTTCATGCATTTTTAGAACTCATTCGGCGATTGTATGGTGAGCCATGAATCCTGACAACTTTTTCGTTTTTCCGTAGTCCATTCCCACTTCCTATATCCTTTAATTTCATCATTTTCTTCTAATTGTCTCACCCTGTTGAACGCATAGAGAACATCTATTCCCTAAGCGATTGATCAATCAATTTGTGAACAAAAAAACAATAGTAGTAGTGATCTAATGGTGAACTAAGCTTTTATTTTTTAATTCAATTACATCGTTACTTAGTACTATGCGGCTAATGTGATTGAAAGTAAGAATTAATAGATAGAGATAGATAGATAATTGGTCTCCTCTATTGGGGAGTACATTGCAGGCTAAGTGCACAGTGATGAACGTGTCTCATATTTATTGGGAAAATTCTACAAATTAATCATATTACTCATAGAGATAAAGTCAATGTACTGTTTGTAATTTCATGGTTCTCACATCATGATGACGTTTATGTTTATGTCAATCTGCCCTCTTTAGACTATAAACCACAGGCTGATGTCATTGTATGCAAATCAATGACATGCATCGTACTGTGCTGCAATGCATAAGTAAGTAAGTGCCTTAGCTTTATATAGCATATGTGTTTTTGTATGTATGTATGTATCTATATTCGTGTGTATGCATGCACATGCATTTTTAAAAGATAAGCGAATGTGTGTGTATGCTTGTGATGAAATTTTTACCAACATCTAAAAGGGCTTAAAATTATTGGATTGGGTTTTTTTTTTTTTTTTTTTTTTTTTTTAAGCAAAGTTTGTTACTTAAGTCTTTTGTACTTAGTATATTGTTTAACAAAATGTGTGCATATATGTGTGCGTTTCAAAGAATAAATAATAAATAAAACATTATATTACAATTTTAAGAAACGAAAAAAATAGAGAAAAGAAACAAATAATTCAAAGACGAGTAGTAGTAGGTAGGTAAGTAGTATTTGAAATTTATTATAAAATTATTTTAAATAATTTAAAGTACACGAGTGTGCGTGTGTGTGTGTGTGTGTGCGTGTGAGTGTGTGTACATGCGCGTATATGTGTTTTTTTGATCCTATACATAACCGCACTAGAGAATATTTATTAAAGCACTATGAAAAAATTATACCGAGAGAATGATGCTAATATTTGTTGTTATTACTGTTTGTTATTTTTTCATTTTTTTTTTTTAACATTTATATGTTTTTTCTGTTTCTTTTACAAGAAACAAACAAACATTATCGGTTTTATAGTTATAGAATTAAAGAGAATAATGATTAAACCTAAAGAACGACAACAAATAAAATAATAAAAAAAAAAACCTGTAAAAAACTAAAAATGAATTGACTTTATTATCATCTTTGTTTTAGATGTTGCTAATTGTATTCAAGATTACCATTAAATAACACATACTAACTCATCCATAGAAAAAGGAAAAAAAGAAAAAAAAAGCAACGCCATACTTATCTAGAAAATACTTTTAGGCAAAATAAGAAGCAGAAGCAGAAGATTCATGGGTTTTTTATTTTGTTGTTTTTGTTGTTGCTGTGAATGAGTATTTACACATGCGTATGTACATGTGTTTGTGTATGTTTGTTTTCTTTTCAATAACTGACTACTACTGGGTGCTGGGTGCTGTGTGGATGTTGTTTTAAGATATAACCGCAACAACAACAAAATTCGTGTGATTGCTTTTTTCTACTCTTTTTTTTGTTTTTTTTTGCTTTTTTTTTGCTTTTTTTCTTTTTTGAAATAATGATATTGATGTGTCTGCTTCATGCTGTACAGATGGTATATGTGCATGTGTGTGCGAGTTATCGGTTTTTGTATTGGTATGAGCAGCATTATAAATAGCTATAAAACACTTTGCGCTTCGCAATTGACTTTTGTTTTCGTTCACTGGTTTTAGCGTTTGGTTGTTGTACGCTAAACGCGGTCGCATTTGTAGTTTGCCAACGAAACGTTTTAAGAGATAGTTTTTTTTTGTGTCTTGCGTTCATATATATTTCTTTTCTATACAATTTTTTTTTTGCTCATATACCTAAACGGTGTGTTGTAATTACGTTTGGAAATCCAAGGTAAGAAATGAAAAAGGAAAAGCGAAACCGAAGCTACAAAACTGAGCGGTCTTTGTAAAGGATGCAAACAAAACATAACTAATGGATTTCTATTATTATTATTATTATTGTTGTTGTTGTTCTTATTGTTATCATTATTATTATTATTATTATTGTTGTTGTTACTGCAATTAACAAAACAAAATGGATTACTGTGGATTATTACGAAACGTTTATCTCATTTGAAAATTTCCCAAAAATAAATTCAACCAAAAGACTAAAGTTAAAAAAAAGAAAAAAAAACGAAAAAAAAACCCAAAACTAAAAAAATAAATGAAAAAACTAAATTCAATCCCGTCACACGCATATAATGAAAACTATTAATGTTCGAACTAAAAGTGAATTTAAAAATCATTTGTGGTGCGAAATGAGTTTGTTGCTTAAGTCTTTTGACTTTCAAAGGTCTTTTTTTTATGTGTTTTCTTTAAATGATATAATGTGCAATACTTTTTGAATGTGTCAAAATATTTTAATTTATTTAAAATTTGTAATAAAAAGATTACAAAAAATTTAAAAAAAAGGAAAAAATTTAAAACTGAACGTCTGTTAAGTCTCAAGTAAATCAATCTTCTCGAAGGTATTTTCTTACTGCTCCTGAGAATATTTGCATTGCTGATCGCATAAAACACTCAACATGAAACTGGAACAATGTGAAAATAACGAGGACAACAGGACAATTTGTATTCTAAAGGATTCAATTTTACATCCATCTCGGCTGCTACGAGAATATTTTCCTTCTGTTCTAGTAGTTAAAAGAGCACAACTTGGATTGCTAGACGAGCACTGCTACTAGTTATGTGTGTCTGTTCAATTAAATTTTCAACCTGCTGGAATTTTCAAACCTGCACGATATGATAAAATTTATTAGAAATTTTCGCACAAATTAGATTTGACAACATGTCTAGCCGGAGCATAACCGCAGCCAAAGAAAAATTCGTAAATTTCAAATATTTCAAAATGTTATCGTCCATAGCTCACGATGGCACAGATGTGTCTTTTAAAATAACCGCATGCAGCTCTGGAAGCGTATGTAAAGCGTTTGAAATTGTTTTGTTCCTTGGCGACTTTTTGTCGAAAGGACTCTGTCTCAAGAGAAGACGAATGTTGACCGAACTTCGTCCGTCTCAGTTTGTACAGTACTTTGCGGTTTTCACAAATGAAATCCATTATCTCAGGTTGTAAAATCCCTTATCGCATATCTTCTTCGGTAGAAAGAGAGTTATTTAAAGGCTTTATACCTCGTTCAAAGCTTGGAATGTTGAGAAAAGCCGTTTCGAGCCAGTGATAGTGAATGCTTCGATTCTCAAGACCGTTAACGGAATCCACTAAATTCCCTTTAGCATAAAATAAAGTAAAAGACTACGAAATTTACTTAATACTTCAAAAAAATGAATCAAGTTTGTGTTTCCAAGAGATTCAAAGGCAAAGTTCCACGCGTCACATTTCATGCAATTGAACCATCATTGGTCGATGAGCACATTTTTTTTTATTAATTTTTACTTCTTCAATCAATAAACCAGTGTCAGTTACTTTAAGACCGTATTTACGTCACATTTGATGATGAGAAATAATTGATCGACGATGCAATCTGAGAGGTATGCGTGTGCGGTAACACGTTGGATGGATTTCTTCATATATGAATATTAAAAAAAAAAAAAATTTAAACGAAAAACAACGAAAACTTGAAAAGTGGGTGTGATCTCATGTTTACACATGTGTACGTTGTTTATTTCATTATATAATCTGTCTTTTTTTTTTTTTGTTGTTTTATCTGCTTCTGCTGACCGTTCCTTATGAGTTTTTTATTTTTTCTTTTTAACATTATTATCTCGATGATTTTGCTTCTATCGAATCTTAGTTAATTATGATAGTTGGGTTTGTGTTTTTTTAAAAAAGAAGAAGTCGACAAACGCATACAACTAAATTATATATATTTAGAAATAATTTTAAAATAGCAAATCCATAAAGGACAGCTGTCGAGCTTACTCGATATCGGGAGCCATAAACCGCCCCATGATAAAAAGAAATAAAAAATATTAATAAACTTATTTTATAAAAAAAAGAAAAATGTAATTCAATATCAGCGCCGGAAACGTTTCTTAGCCAGGCCGTAGGGAAATGAGGAGTAAATGTGATATACTTGAGCTCTTTTTTTTGTTGTTTTGTACTGACGCTTACTTAAATAGTGGCAGTGCATTTCATGAAAGGGTCCAGGCTCGTCCAACCGGTTGTATATATAGTGCTTGCAGTTGACTGAATTTTTTCTTCAAACTTTAATGGCGTCTCCCTCATTACTTATAAATTTGTACATGAGCAGCAAAAAAGATATATATGTAGGTCAAGGGAAGACTAAACTGTAAGTTACCCGTAATTCAGGACTTTTCATGCTATTGATGAAAAACAAGCTAACTAAGACAAAGAACTATTTGCGCTTTAATTAAACTTAGACTTCAAATTTCAGTTTGTTGCTCAGGCCTTCTTAATAACTCATTTTCCCTCAGGAAAGTTTCGATAAGAAAAACTATCTAAATTCTTTTTACAGTGGCTGATGGTGCTATGCGATTGCCTAAAATGATGTAAGCCAACGCAGACAGTTGTGCACTTCTTATAAACGAAAATCATTTTATTTAATGTTTCACGTAGAGAGATATGGGAAGACTAAGCTGCCTTACCAAGGAATTGAATGATCTTGATTATAGTTATTTTTTAAAACCGTTTATTATTATTATTATTATTATTTTAATTTTAGACTAATGAAATGAATTCTTAGATTAAAAAAAAACATTGAGCACTAGCAACACAGGCTATCGGCCGTTTAAAATTTATTAATTGTGAAAAAATGATATCTCACTACGATTCTATACCCGCGAATATAAATTTATTTCGGTTTGCTTACGCAGATTTATTTCAGATTTCATTCTGGTTTCACGTTTCACTAATCTGCGAATTAATTTCCATAAGACCAATATCGCATCCATGCTTTGGCTGATAAAAGCCAATGAACTGATTACGTCGTTCTTAAAATTGCCTCCAGACAGTCGGGTCGCCATAGAGAACTCAAGCGAGTTTATCGGGAAAAGCCTTATTTTTTTTTTTTGTGTTCGCACAATCACAGAAGACTAGGAACTAGAGTACTAGTAGCTAGTCTCGAAATATCACTCGGAATACCGATAGCATAAGACCCATATAAACCTCAGTGCTTTTAATATCCACCAAACGTTTGTCAATAGCAATTCCCCTAAGAATGGTTATATCCGAAGGCCTTGAAGTTATGGTGCAAAAAACTTGCCGATGTATATATATAAGCTACCAATACATATATATATATATATGTATATATATTTTGTGCCCGCCTACGGATTTACATGTATAACGGCATATGTATTACATGCTGGCGATTGTATATTAGAAAGACTTCATAGCATTTGTTCACCAAAACTCAAGTTCATTTTTCTTATGTATTGCATGAACTTTATCCAGGCGCATGAATGTATGTATGCCAGTTTGATCGATAACCTCTTGTCATTATTTTAGGGAAATCATTGTTCCATCATTAAAGAATTTCTGAGCGAAAGATTGAATCAAGAGATCATCAGAAACCTTTTTTTGAAGGCAGCTTCACATCATTTACGACAACGAAACAAATGGTAGTCGAACGGTTCGGTACATCAAAGCTTCTCAACCAAGTTTTTTTGAATTCATGCCAAGCGAAGGAAACGTCACTTTTCCTATACATCAATTCTGGAAGCTTGAGCTTAGCTTCGCGCGTTAGTCGCTTTGGTTGTTGAGGATAGAGACGAAATCAATTGTCTGGTAAGGTTGCAGCAAATCAAGATCCATAGTTCATTACGTTGCCAACCTCCAAGTATTGTCTTAGATGGCGGCAATGCGATCTGTGAAATTTCATTCAGCTTGAACTATTGCGCTTTTCAAACATTCGCGTACACTCACTATCGTACATGATCAAAATGGCTTAAACTATTCTTCCGTGAGTGTTTAAATCGCGCTGATGTCATAGGATGAAATGGGCGACATTATTAACGATTTGGTCGACCGGAGCGCGACGCGCCTTTAGCATCGAAATCTCCCCGACGGAAACGGTAGACCAATTGCGTGCCGCCGATTGTAATAAAGCATATTCACTTAAGGCACCACGAATTGTTTCGTAAAGCCAGGGAAGCGCTATCTACTTAGTCAAAATCATGTTATATAATATAGTGATTTTTCTTAGAATCGTGGTTCGTTTTTTTTTAAATGTATTTGTTTTTTGATTATTTTATCAAATGTCTCAATAGTTTTTTTTTTAATATCTATGGAGCTTAGATGCGCCACGAAGTTTCGGTTTTAGCTTACATATTGGATAGCGGGTAAGGTGTGAATTGTCGCCGCCTAAGAGAGGGAACTAGAGCTTGAAGCTAAGACAGCCTTAACTCAAACTCCAAATCCACGCTTAGGGTACAATAATGTAAATAAAATTTGCTATCCACGGCATCGGACATAGTCGGGCTAAGTTTCCGAAAGCAAATACGAATGTCAACTAGCTGCAGATGTCAATTTGAAAGGATTATGATGTCAAGTAGTTTAATATTATAAGAATATAGTAGAAGAAATCTCACTTTAGTTCTTCATATGAATTATATGGAGCTGTTACCTCCTGCTGCCTCATTTTTACAATATAAGAAAAAAAAAAATTGTTTTCTTAGAAAAGCTTTAGCATAATTGTCTGAGACTCTTAAGCGGACGGCAATATTAAAATCTGTCTGTCTCTGATTTCCTCTCTCTCTCTCTCTCTCTCTATACTAGTAATCAATGAATCATTTAGGTATATGATTGTTATGATTTATATTAATTTTTCTAATTGATAAAACGCTTAACCACTTTTAGTATGATTCAGCATCGACAAGCTACTAACTGCCATGTCCGTTTAATTTTCTTTTTTTTTTTTTTTAAAAGCTTATTGTGCCCATATCGGTGTACTTTTAGAATTGTTTTAGTCGATGTTTTGTAATTTTCAAGAGTAGATTTTTGTGTTTATGTTGCTTTTTCCAAAAAATAAAAGAAAATTGAAGACTTTTTTCGTTGAGACGCGTAATACTTTAACAAGCGATTGAACAATCTTTCGTCGTTTTATAAAGTGATGGTTGTTGATGATAACATTGTTGTTGTTGTTGTTGTTGTTGTTGTTGTTAAGGTTATTGCAAAGACTACATGGCTCATACATAAGTGCGCTTCAACCGGTTTTCATTTTTATATGTAATACAAGTGCTATCCTTGACATAAAAACTTCTATACGAACGCATAAGCACGAGTTTTTGTTTTCCTTTTTTTTTTTTACAAGAGGCTTCGCGCTTTTACGCACTGAAATTACCCATCACGTAATATAAAATACATATATGTTGTGATTTTTACGCACCAGGAATGGGCAACTTCTTAATGCTCGTTATTAGTTTTCTCAAAGAAATGCAGCCATAAGTGGACTGAATTGCATTGTGGTGAAGCTTGACGAACGGTTGACTTGTCCGACTATTCATTACAAATGTTGTTAATCAATCACTTCTGCGATCAAAATTCACTGAACTTAAACTACTTTGCATTATATGGATAAGCTTCGCTTATCGTTCTTTGCTAACTACTACTACTACTACCACTCTCCCATGCACGATTTATTATTATTATTAGAGCATAGTGTACTGAGGTCAAGCGTTGGCAATTGTGTCAGCAATGAGCGAACGAACGAACGAACGAATGAATGAATGAATAAATGAATGAATGAATGAATGATTACGATTTTGATGTTAACAATGTCTGTTCACGTTTTTTTGTTTAAATTGTTTCCTTAAATAAAGGAAGAACGAAAAAAAGAGATAGAGAGAGAGAGAGAGAGAGAGAGAGAGAGCGAGAGAGATAAAGATATAGGGGCTTCTGTAGTGTTTATAGAAATAAATAAACGCTTGCCAGATAATGATGGATATCGTACGCGTTAGCTGCCATCAACGATGAACTCAAGAATGCCCATAGGGATCGAAACTACCGAATATCGATCGCTAACGAGACCACGTTAAGAACTAAAGATATTTTCCCCCAACATTTTTTCCGTATGCTTTGACAGGTCGATGCTCCCTTGTCGCCACCGTCCAATAAGAATATCGGTATAAGATTCTTTTGTTTAATTTTCCTTTCAATTTTGAAAAGATCTTTACATCTTAAGCGTTGTTTTTCTTTTTTTTTACTATTCTTTTGAAAACAATATTTTATAAATTTTAATCCATTATGTTTTAATTATTTACAATCATAAGTAATTTGAATTGATTTTGCATCCTTTCCGAGTTAAGCTAATTTTCGTTTACTTTTTGCCTTTTCTTCTATTTTTCTTTTCTTATTTTTTTTTTTTTTGATTATATTACAGATGAGATTTACTTTGGCTTTAGCTGCTATTTGTTTAGCAGTTTCATATGCTGAACCTGCCATTAGTCAAGCCAGAACTACCGCTACCACCACCTCAACAAAACCCGGTAGATTTCTATCGCTGCCCGTTCCTGCCAAGTGTGCCAGCCGTAAGTTATCAATGAAATTTTGTTCGTCTAAAGCATTGCAAACCATAAGTTTTGTGCTTTACGTGCCGCTATTTCTGTTTCCTTTATTAGGAAATCCATCTATAAATAGTTTTTTTTTTTTTTTTTTTTTTCATTTTGCTTTTTGTTTAGCTTAACTTCAATTCATCGCTTGCTTACTGCATACAAAAGAAGTGAAAATGTATAGGAAAACGTGAGCACTGTGTTTATTATTATTTGTTTCGCTTTATGAAATTCGAGTTCGTCTATGTCTTAACATTTGATTGATAGTGAAATTAAAAGCATTTGAGAATTGTAAAGAAAAACTTTTTTAATAAGTAAAGTAAGGCATAATAAATACTTAATTGGAATTTTAGGCTGAAGTAAATTTCACTTTATACTCAAGGCTTAGACTGAGAAGAACAAACATTCAACGTTAATTGCAATCAAGAATCGATTATATAATAAATGAGAATATTTTTATATATATATGCCTTAAAACGCATGTTCTTCGATACCCAACGTCTTGAGCTTTTACGGTAAATTTTTGAGTGCATCAACTTGTTGAGGAAAATTTCTTTTCCATTGACAGTTCACATACCTATTTGTACTGAATTGTTGCCAAGTATGTATTAGAAAATGTCAAAGTTGCCATTAAGTCTGACTGACTGCACTCGCTCTCTCCTTTGAAGTGTCGAACGGTTTCGTTAACCATAATCTTCAAATGTTATTTTTTGAATATTGACACTGATAGGTGTTCCAACGACCGTTTACAAGCAGACCGAAAAGTCAGAGCACATTCAATTTAATTGCGTGGGAGTTTTGGATATTATAGGCAATAGGATAAATACTAGTGCGAATCGATTGTTAGGGGTCTGCCTAAACAAAGCTAGGTCAACTTAGATCAACAAAATATTTTCGTTGATACCGGAAGAGTAAAAGGACAAGTTTCCAACAACGGTCGACAAGCGTTCGAGCAGGCAGGGTTAGATCAGCTTATGACCTGGCGTTGAACACGAAAATACTTAGCTTGATGGCATTTAGTAAATTTAATGCAGACCTAATCTTCCCTTTCGAATATTCCATTTAACATTATCTTGGGGTAGGCAACAAATCTAATGATGATCTCCTTCTTTCAAGTCGATTTCGAAAAGATGATGTGGTGGTCTTACGACAATGGGTAAGTGGGTTGGTTGAGGTCATTCCTATCTGTAAACTTTTCAACGATTCCTTTACATATTTAATATCTTTTATGATTCATGCATGCATCGGTAATCGAAAATGGAAACCTTTACTAAGGTATTTGAAATTTCAATGCCCTTTGCAAATTTAAAAATTTCCAATAATTGCTGTAACAATAAGAGGGATACGTGCATGTGAATATAACATGTGCCTATTACTTTACATCAACCTTTAACATGGTTCCTTTAAATGCAGAATATCTTCTACTGGTCATGGATTAATAACGAAATTTGAACTGAGATCTTATTAGTTATTTTAAAGCCATTGTAAAACCCCTTTTTAATAGCTCCAAATTTCTCTCTCAACCCGCTTAGTTTGGACGAATTAGTGTTTCTCGCTTGAACCGATGCATAACTTTGTTTACTTTCATAGGAGAGTTTTTTTTGTTTTAGTTTTTCTAATCGTGATTAATGAAATGATTATTGCCTTCAGGTTAGAAGATTGACTTTGTTGGCCTTTTCTAACGTTTATGTAAAATGTTTATTATGTCATTAAAAGAATTTAAAAATTTTTCATCAAAATTACTAATTTATGCCAAAAATGAAAACGTGAATAACAAAAACCGGTCGTCAGCAAAATGCATAAATACAGGAATTAATTTAAAACGAAAACTTAGCAATTGCTTATTATAAATTTAGAATTTTAATTAGGTGAACAGTTGCTATTTAGCTTTAAGTGAACCGGCAAACAAAAATCGAAAATAATTATCAAAAAAAAAAAAAAATAAAAAAAAATATCAAGTAATTGCAGCTAGAGCTCAGTCAATACTTATCAACATTAGGCATAGTTTTTAGGCCACAACCAGCTTTCAGTTTCTATGTAACCGGTTTGTTTTTCTTTATACTCATTTTTAATGTCTACCACTAGGACTATGATTATATTTAATAATTCTTACTTTACTTGTAACACCCGGAAATATCCATTAGATGTCATAAACTTGCTATATGCTTTTAGTCTTCGCTGCTTTTTGATCAACATACAATTCGAACTTCTTTGAATGCATGAATCGCCAATGAGACAAACTTAGACAGATTAGTTAACAATCCGAAAGAGGTTGGAAACAATTTTTCTAATTCTAAGAATATTTCCATCAAAGAAAATTATTTCATTGTGTAAATAATCCCGGAAAGACAGCGACAACATATGTATAATCTTCTTATGACCGATTTCCTTGCCGTGAATAGTATTCAGAATTCGCCACTAACTGAGCCAAGTTTGCCTTCTCGTTTGAAATTGAAATGCACTAAAATGAATCAGAAAAATTGAACAGAAAAAATAATCATCTTTAAAATAAACGACTTTGTTAAAAATAGCAACAGCAAGCATTAATTAAGCGGATATAAGTATAAGTATTGTCTGTGGTGTATGTGTGATTACATGCAAGTTATTATAGTCAGCTTGTTGGGTAAATTTTTGTGCTTTGATCATAATGTGTGTGTGTGTGTGTGTTATGTCTTCTATGTAATCGTGTAATTGTGAACTTTAACACTAAATACGTTATACGAAAAGTTTGTAGAGATAATGTAATAAGTTTTTCTGGCCTTACGTACTAACTGCGAATATTTTCCAAAGTTAACTTAACTCCTCTTGGTCTAACTTTTACGTGATGTAACTGCCCGTCAGTCGCTTAATACAACGCGAACCGCTAGCGTTAGAACGGAACATATTTGCATTAACGCACTTAAACTTTAATATGCAAGAAGAAAAATTTATTGAGCATGAGGCTGCGCATTCTAAACAATCGGGAGAATATGTTAAACTTTTCGTTTTGCTTTTGTATGTGAGGAACCGCTTAGACGATATCCCCTAGACGCGCAGGCACGACCATAATCAGGAAGAGTCGTACATAGAGGAGGACGGAAGCAAGTAACAGCATTTTTGTGGCCCCTGCTGGTTTGTTGTTCTAAAGGTGGTGCTAAAGAATGACGAGTTCCAGTAGTCTGTCGAGCGACATAAAGGCATTTTTTTTTTTTTTTCTTTGTATATGAGTAACTATAAGTAATTATAACGATGGAGCTGCTAGCGTATTTGTAGCTCTAGCCTTAAGATAATCGAGCCTTTTCCTCGACTAACGCAAGAATTTCCCATTCACTTGCTTATCATTCATCCGCAAAGCACTTATCTCTTTTGGAAAGGGACTTCCGTTATTGACCACTCAACTGTCGCGACTGTGTACTAAAGCTGTGTCGCAAAAATTAGGTATACAAGATACGACGAGTACTGGCACTGGTCAATGACAGTTAAAAGCTTAAAGTAATCTTCTTAAGAAACTCAGAATTACGTCTAGAGTGAGATGGAATATTTCTGAAAACAACAAAACGCTTTCGAATGCTACTCTAACGAATACCGAACTTCACTCAAAGAGAATGAGTCTGACGCGTTGTACCAATGTGTACAAACATAAACTATTTCTACACCTTTTACAGCAACAGCGCCAGCAATAATAATTTCGAAAACTCTAGCCAAGCTCGGCAAATGTCGGTATCATTCATCAAGACTTCAACGAGCCAAATAATTTAGCAAATTTTTTTTTTTTGTGTGTTTGTGCCAGCCTCCAATTACATACAATCAACGATAAAGTACCGAAGTCAATCAAGCCAAAGTTCATTTATTATGTTGAATAATCCAAAAGTATTAAATCTTTATTATTTATTGTCTGTCTAGTGTTAAAGTTCACGCAATTGCCCGACAATACGTGCTGTAAGCAACTGTAAAACTTTAAATTGTACAAAAAAGAATGCAAGGCAAGCTTGCATCTATATCCGCTATATCCGCTTAATTAATGCTGTTCTAATTCTCAATTCCACGAGTTCTTCCCGGCTATTCTCACTCTTTTTCTCATTCATTTTAGTTAAATTCACTTACTTACGATATAACTATAGTTCAAAACATATCGTAGGATTAAAGTTAGATAAAACCAAGTTCTTACTCAAAAGCTTTTCCTACCTGTCTACAATATTTTGGGTGAGGTTTTATCAATGGGTAGTCTATTCTAGTCTGTTGTATGTGAGACTAAGCATCATGCTATCAGATGTGAAAAGAAAATATCGCAAGTGATGGATAAGATAATAATGCCTTGATGGTAAATCTTCCAACAGTTAGTTTAATTTTAAAGTCCATGACCACGCAACCGCAAAAATGTTTACTTAGCCCTAATCTTATGATGTGGCTCTCAGCCATTTATGAGGAACAATGGGAATAACTAGAATTTTACAATCTTTGTTTTTATTCACATTTACACAAAATTATTTGAGTCGCTTCGTTGTTATGTTGCCGCGGTGGTTTCCTGATCTCAACACGGCTGTTAGAACCGATCTACTAGAACATTCTTGGTATAGTTAAATTAAAGCTTTATTTAATGCCATTAAACTAACGTTATTTTCACAAATTTTCGTAAGGCGTTTGACAGAGTTACTCATGATCTTCTTATTTTGAAGCTAACAGGAATGCGATCACCCCATCATATAGTGAAATGATTTGGATCGCATTTATCTAGCCGTACACAAAGATTTGTTTATTCCGAAGTGATATCTGTTCCTTCTGGTTTGCCACACGGCAGCCATTTACAATCTTCCTGGTGGCATTCCACGGAGTAATGTTTTAATGTTTTAATGTTTAATGTTTAATGTTAATATCAAGGATATAAATTGTTTACTTATAAAAGACTCGACCCTAATCCCATACTCATTATCATTTGTTCTTTACTTGATGAACATAACATAACGACTATGATTATTATACATGCGATTACGTCGATTATGTTCTTGTATTCTGCGTTTATATTTTTAAACTTGTAAATCTCTTTGTTATGGTGCTTTGTATTGATGTGAAGTAAAGAAGAAGTTACCGAAATGTGTTCACCTTGGCCTAAATTAACACAAACATAAGAATAATTTTATGCACTGTAAAGAGAGAAGAAGTATATGCAACTGAAGCCAATTAACTAGGGTCTCTGCGCAGATCTTAGCAATAATATACTCTAGTAAGCAAAAAAGAAGACAAGAAAATATTAAAGCAAGTATGAAAGTTAAACTCGATCGGAACCGAATCTTTTATACCCAACTACGTTATCCTAAAAAAGCTAAAAGAAGTGAAAGAACAAAATTTTCGTTCTCTATAATATGCAGTGTGAGCGCAGCTGATTTCTTCTATTTTCAAAGTAAAAGTTTTTGTCGTATAGGCATGTTGCCGTTGTAGGCGTGTCCTTTCAAAAGTTTAGGTCAATTCCACATTCTTTTGTAACTTTTTAGGCAGTATCTTCATTTCCGCTAATGGGACAATGTTTGCCACAATTACTACAAAGTTGCGCAAAGAGACAGATGGACGGACGATCAGGCGGAAATGTTTAGGTGCATTCAAAATTTGAAACTGGCTAAGAATTTATATATATACTTTATGGGATTCTTAAGCTTGGCGCTGCGCGTTATAAAGATATTGGAAGAACAATTAATGTTTGACACAATATAATATTGGGTAGGCTTGGTTCAATTTTATCCATTTTTGTGCACAAATGCTACAGCATCGCCCACATTTACTTGCTACAGTTTCTGAATGAGTAGTGAGCAAAAAAACAAGTTTTCTTTCCTATGAAAACAAGACGAGTTCTCGGCTTACTTGGCGCTGTGGACGTGTCCTTCGCCTGATTTGCCCCACTTCCAATACCAAGCTGCGTGCAAGAACTTCCAACGGTTATCGCAAATTTTTAATGGATAGCTTCATTTTTGCGGCCAGGAGTTTGTTTACAACAGACGGACAGACGGACGTACTTAAATTGATTTAAAATTTGATGTTAATTAAAAATATATATGCTGTGCGGGATCTCTGATACTTCGTTCCAGGCGTTGCAAACATTTTGACAAAATGAATAGACCCCTCATCGTTCGGTAATGACTGCAAAAATGTAGAAAAAGTGGACCGACTAAGAATATGGAAATTTTTGTTTGTTTATTTAACCAGTTAATCGTATCGAGCACTTAGAAAAATATGCATCTAAATTGCGTGGCAATACTCGTCATACTCATGATATGAAATTCGGTTGTAATGGAATGATTTGACAAAACGACAAAAATATTTTCTAAAATGCATTATTAAATCGAATACACATTCATTTTGGTAAAATATTATGAGGAAATCCGAAAAGGAGGGATAGACGAATCATGAAGACGTGTAATAAAAAATGTTGTACTTGTTTCCATGAGGAGTATACTCGTTATATATACCAGTCAACTGATGAAATAAGTTTTTATAAAAATGTCAATTTCACTATTTTTCTAATTAGGTGAAGAAAACCGTATGTGACGTGTGTGCGAATAATTAATGAAAAATAATAAGTAAACTTCGAGCCATTTCAAATTATTTCATTTCGTTTTTCTATTTGAAAATAAGTTTAAAAAAAAAAAAAAAAACGCACACTGCTTGCGTTTCATTAAGCACATCTTTGCGTAGACAATTCGCATAAACCGCAACGACACAGCTTCTCCGAGTTAAGTTGAGGTTGGGCATTATACATAATTATTTGCGGTTTGTGTTGGGAATGCAATTAATATAATGTTTTAAGAGGTAGGAACCGGCCAACAGGCTAAAGAAACAAGTTTTTATTTATTTTTTCTCATTTTTCGTCGTTGCTCAATTGTAATTTTCGTGTACATATTTCAAGCGGAAGGGATCATTGCATCTGAATTTCTAATTAAGCAAGAAAATGTAAAAATGTAATGAATGCGTTAAGATAGACACATAAACATAAATATGGTTGATGAGTAGTAGTAGTTTTCTAAAGTTAAGCAACTTCTTCCCCGCTTAAGATCGTTGTGCGATTTTAATTATTTGATTTTTTTTCTTTCAGGGCCCAAGGAATTTTCTTATCGAGGCAAGAATATGTTTTTAAGCAGTCATGTTCCTGCTTTGGCTACGAAGAAAGTCGATTGGTTAGACGCTCGAAATATTTGCCGTGAATACTGTATGGATTTGGTGGCGTTGGAGACGCAAGAGAAAAACAATTTAATTTTCCGTGTTATACAGCAAAATGATGTACCCTATATTTGGACAGCGGGCCGCATATGCGATTTTAATGGCTGTGAAAATCGTCCAGATTTAGAACCTAAGCACCTTTACGGTTGGTTTTGGTCTGCTACGCGTGAGAAAATTCAAGCTACTAATCGCTTACCTCAGGGATGGGGTTATAATCCTTGGTCTCAAACTGGTCACAAGAAGCGTCCACAGCCCGACAATGCCGAATATGATATCAATCAAACAAAGGAACAATGCTTATCAGTATTGAATAATGTCTATAATGATGGCATCGCTTGGCATGATGTTGCCTGTTATCATGAGAAACCTTTCATATGCGAAGATAGCGATGAGTTGTTACGCTATGTAGCCGCTACAAATCCGGGTATTCGTCTTTAAGTTACTAAGTTCAAAAATTCTTTTTTTTTTTTAATTTGTTTTTAGTTTATAAAAACTTTTAATAGACTTAAAATTTTTCCAAAAAATAATATATGTGCATACATATATAGATGTGTGTATTGTTTCGTCTCCCCCGTCTCTTTCCTTTGCCCTACATTTGTTATCTGTATAGTTTACGTATTTTATTTCGTGTCCTCTAACTGCCAACCTAAAAATCTCATATTATTGTAAAATATTTGTTTTTCTTTCTATGATTTTTCCGTTTTAGAAAATTTTTAAAAAAATTTCAAAATTTAAAAAGAAAAAATTACTTTTAAGAAAATCAATAAAATCTGTAAAAACCATTAATATTTGCTTCAGTGAATTAAGCAAAGGTGTTGTTAACCTACAAGATTTGTTACGATTAGTGCAAGATGCAATTCTTCGGTTATTACGCGAAGCACTATAGCTCTCATTAATGCTTGCTTTATAAAGGCCAACGAGGCCAGAAAACATCACCTGAAAATGACGTCTTCAGCACATTCCTTTATCCCTCCAGGGATTATTGGAGTGACGCATGCGTATGAAAATGAATTCTCCTGGATCCATTGTATTAAAAGCAGCTTGACAGTAATCGCATCTCAACGAATGCTTTGTAAATAATCCCGAGTCATTGAAGTTCTTGAGTGTGGCAAAAGAAATAAGATAGGACATGGCTTACTTATGTTATGTAGAGCGTTTGCAAAAGAAGTTGTAAGAGACATTATCATATACCTCTGAATTGAATAATTTTATTCGGGGTGTTATTCAAATATCTACCGAGAAATGAAAAAAAGATAATCCAAAGGTGTTTGAAACCAATCATACTAAGATTCCCATACACCTTCCTCACGGGTGGCATCCCACGTGGGTCTATTGTTTAACTTGATTTAAAACTAAAATTTTATAGCAATATATATACATATAATTATAATAACAATACTACATATATTTTTAATTACATTTGCGGGTAATGTTTTTTGCGGATTGCTCCTATATTTTAGTATTAGTTAATAATAGTACGTATAGTATATAACATAATAGATTAACGGTATGCTTTTATCTCTTCTCGCAGGAGAGAGCGTGAAGAAGAGGCATCTGGACACAATTGTCGCCCGTGTCCTTTTTCCAATATTTTTTTCGAGTATATGTGCCCGTATGCAGGAATAGAAAATTCGATAGGCTTTCCCGAAGGCGTTGGACACCGCGTCCTTTGGGAAATCCACATTCAGTTGTTTACTGGCGAAAATTAAATCATCCCTCTCATTGATAATGACATTTATGCTGTTCGTGTCACAATAGAAGTTGTCATTTTGTTTGGTAAAGTCTGCCAAGCAGTCATGGCATTTCTCTAGCTCGCGGACGTACAACTTTAACCGGAGAAAATTTCTCCGTTCCGGTCAAGTGATCTTAAGTCTTCTTTGACCAAATCTTCAATTTGGTAGTCCATATTATTAAAGAGGAAAAAGTCATAATCAGTTTTGTGCCAGCCACGACATTATGTTCACGGTGCATTCTTCGATTCATACAGTTTTAGTGCCGACGGTTTGTACTTGAGGGAAAACTCTTTCCAATAGTTCTTGGCTTACCCTATATGGCGATATACTTGTATTAGGGTAAGCCTAACGTTTTTTTTTTGCGATCCTTTCCTCTGTGTCGCGGTCGCATTGTTCCGTCTTTCAATCAACGAGCATAAAAGGAACTTATGATACATTGTGCTGAAAATTTACGCTTCCGTCAACATTGCTCAATTTAGCTCGATATTTAAAAAAAAAAATTGTATTTACTTTTAATTATTTTTTTTTCACAATTCACAAATGTAATTTAGGACAACCTTCCTTTTTAATTTTTTTAAAATTTTTGAATTAATAACTGATTTTCTAACAGCTGCTTTTTTACAAACACAACTCTAAGAAAGAGATTTGTGGCAACTTGCTTGGTTTATACTCAATACTAAGGCAAATTTGCTCTCAGCGACAGCAAACTTATTGTCGCCAGATTTAACCCAACTGACAGAGCGCATTGAACGATGATCGCCATTTAAAAAAAAATGCGCAAATTTAAATGAAACATTAAGAAAAAAGATAAAACTATAAAAGCAGCTGGCATCTGCTGAAGCCTGCAACTTAACATATCTCTTACTATCGAAATATGTCGAACTATTAGAAACATTTTATCTAGCTTGAAACTGGGAGAGTAAAAGAAATTAATAAAAATTTCAACATGTAACATGTTCGTCACTATTTTGTATAATACATAAGGCAATTACCACCTTTTGAAGAGCTGCAAATTACTCTTCTCATTGCTTCGGGCAATAATAATAATAGCGGGATATATTTAATCGTATTCTTTTCATTTTACTGCTTTCACGACTACTTCTCTTCACTTCTTGATTTATGATGACTTTTACTTATGTTACTCTTTCTCTTTGACGGCTGTTTCTCTAAGGTTTTAGAAGTTTCTCTACCAGAGCTTTTCGCTTTGTTCCATTTTCTGTGAGGTAGTTCACTTTTTGGCAGGGTATATTTATTACGGCTTTCACGTCTGCTTCTGCTCCTTTCTCGTCTTTTATGTTTGGTCTTTGACGATTTACTAGTCTCCTTCCTGTCACTTTTGCTACTTTTATGTTTTTCCTTAATTGGTTTTGAAAGGTTTTCGCTTTTGTGACTGATGCCATTGCCTCCGCAACATTTCTTCGCCTCTACTTCTATCTCCGGGCTCTCTGACCATCGCCAATTTCTACATCTTTCCGCATAAACACTTTTCGTTTCTATGTCTTTCCAACTGTAAAAGAAATTCAATAGATCAGTAATTTATTATTCTGTAACTCGTAATCTAAGCTAACCTTAATAAAGGCGTTATCTCTACTTTATTGAGATTTGGAACCACATTCGGTGTTCTTACCATAGGCTCTATAGTCTGATTGTATTTGTTGCCTGGATTTTGAAACAAATGCAAATAATTACATTGCGGACCTTTAGAGCATTTATGTGCCAAAGATAAACCTTAAAGGAGTTTAGTGAAAATTTGGTTAAGGAAGCATTGCATATAAATTTAAAAATTAAAATAGAGAAATTCCACGCTTTTGTAATAGGAAAAGGATACCGATTGCCTACCACAGACCGCCATACGCCAATGCCGAATATTGGAGAATTCTACACATAAGCGTCGGCAAGCGTAATATCGTCCTTGCAGATTAACAAAGGCTTTTAATGCGTCTCTATAATGTTAAACCTTTTTCGGTTAAGAGATATGATTGGTCTTTTATAATAATACCTCTTGTTTTTATATTCTACAAATGTGTGACCCCTCAAATGGTCTTGCACATTACGAGTGACTCTGAAATTTAGTATCTCGCCAAACTTTTCTATCTCCGGCCAAACATCGTCGCAAAATTCTTTATAAGTTTTTTTTAAGTCATCCTCGTTAAACTCCAATTGTTCATCAGCGTTGAAATACTCTGGATTTTCTGTTTGCCTAAGTAGTGGATGACTAAAAAAATTTCTTATTATGATAATTTTTGCCAGTAAAGGCCTTTTGTGATTGAAATTACAACAAAGACCGTAACGACAACAATTGGTCCTTTCAAAGAATTCACACATCCTCCTATCCGGAGCGGTTTCTATAAGAACCTTGAGTTTGGGGGGAGTTTTTATTATCGTCTCAGTTAAGTAGTCATCCATTACACGCATTGTGTCCTCAAATTCTTTATTCAGTGATTTAATTAAACGTTCTTCTGCAGCCTTCTTCAATAGAAGCGCTTGTTCGCGTTTTTGCAAATCAGCTTCTCTCTGTAAACGCAGAGCTTCGTGGGCTGCCTCTTGAGCCTTTTGCAGTTTCTCTAGTTGTCTGAACCGTTGCTGAGCTAAAAGTTCTCTTCTCAACCAGGCTTCTTCCTGCTCTTCATGCTCCTTCTCTTCTTTTTGAAGTTGCATCATTTCCACCTCTTCTTGCTGTTCTAGACGGCTTTTTTGTATGGGATCATTTTGCTTCTGCAAATTCTCTACAAAGCAAATTTATTTAGATATTCACATACCTTTATACTCATATTTATTTAACAAATTTACCAATTTCCAATAACCTATCACGCTCTTTGGCTTGCTTTTGCCTTCGCTTCTTGCGTTGTAACTTTTTAACCATCTTACGCCAAGTTCTTCTAGTGCCAACATCACTATTAGGTAAGTCATTACCATGAACAGTTAACCGCAAAGTGTTTATGGAAACATCGCCCGACATTTTCTTTGGGCTTTCTCACAACAAAAAGTATCCTATATAAAACCAAAGAAATGTTCATAGTTTTCAACAGATATCTACTAAGAAGGATTATATATATTATTATCTGTCTCTCCGACTTTCTATTATGTTTTATTGAAAATGAAATAATACCAGCCTTTATTATGGATTAAAAATCAGCAGAAAAAAGCTGAATTAAAGTTTTACTATTTGTATAAACACCTCTTCACTTAAATTGCACAGGAACTGAAAATGATTAAAAAATTTTCCTGTTCGCTGTTTTTTAGCAAACAGCTGAAAATTTATCTTATGAGTTGATAATATTAGTAATGTGAGATTTTATTTTAAGTTTACTGTTGTTGTCGATTATACCGATTTGTATTGCGACTCGATGTTACGCATGCTTAGTACCCAGCGGCCACACGCACATATAGAAGGATTAAGCGAATTAAAAAAATATTATATAATCATATATCATCATGTATAGGTCGTAAAAATTATCAAACGCATCTGTAATGTCAAAGCAGATTGCGGTACTAGCTCTACCACACCAAATACACACCTAAAGTTTTACAACAATACTGGTTTTTTAAGTTATTTGGGGAAATTGCTTAGCTGAAATGAATTATGAAATATGCGAAATGACTATGAAAATACGCGAACTAAACTTATTTAATTTTACAACTTAGCCGAAAGATAGACCGCCATAATTTTTTTTTTATTATCAAATTAAACAAAACAGTATCTAAATTTTCTGCTCATTTACATAAAGAACGTAATACGTTGCCATCTTCTTCTTAGTATGTTCGGCTTGAAAGTATAAAAAACCGACTAATATTATTTTAGTTGAACATATTCACTTGCTCGCATATACGACGATATAACAAAACAAATTTTTCTAAGTTGTGGCAATGCAATTTGTAGGTAAAATTTTGCAATTTCCTCAAAACAGGGTTGTAATTAACAATTTAGGTCCCTGTCTTTCTGCATTTATGCAAGCCACAAACCGAACTCTTAAATGTACGTATCAGAACAGTTCTTTTGCAACTGTGACATCTGCCACAAACATATATTTGATAATTCAATTATGCTAAACTAAAATTATAGCAAAAGAATTATCATATAATGCAATATCGCGAAATTTCAAATATTTCCCACACATATTTGCTATCTTATGAAATTATATTTTACAAAAAATGCTTGCGAGCCACTTTAGCACCTTTCTTATTACACATTAGCAAACTATTTAATCCATCATCAGCATCATTGCAGTTAAAATGTCAACTCCATGTCTGATAAAAGCCAGACAGATAGACTGTGTCATTCGTAATTAGTATGTTATACTGAAATAAGTAAGCAGGGCAGGTTCGCCACGTTGTTGAGTGAGTGAATATATGTTTTACATTCCTGATCTGCTTGGCTTCTTCCGCCAAGATTAGCACTCTTTTAACTGCCGAAGTATATTCGGCCAAAAGCGTCACTAATAAAAGAATGGATTCAATTGTTTCATTTGCGAAGTTAAAGGGCGTAACTTAATGCTTAGTTCCGTAGATGCACGCTATGCTATGCATAGACTACAACTTAATCGCGCTTTTAAGGACACGAATATCATTGCAAAGAAATAGTCTATTAGATTAGATATCACCTTTTTAATATACATGTTTTTTGAATTTCTTTCATTTATCGGATGTGTGACTATTAAAATTAAGCCCACATATATTGGAGCCGGATCGTGTATATCCACCACCATTGTATTGCGCCGTAACGGGATAAGAGAACCATAAAAATTGTATTGGAAGTTATTATTACGACGCAATTTTGACCAAACATCTGTGTTAATACAGCTTTATCTTCTGTGGGCTCGCAGTAAATGCGATCACACTTACAAAAATGGTTGCTTTGGATCCCGGTCTTCTTTTCAACGCAACAAACTCGAGTCATAACGATTTGAGACTTCAGTCGGTAAGGAGAATAAATCCTAAACAGAAGGAAATGCCTACGCACGTCGTTATGTAGGCACTTTAGACATTTAATTAATTCTGTATCGTTATAAATTCAGACCAAAAAATATATCACGTGATCTAAGGTGGAAGGAGCCAATTTTGGTTGATTCTAACAAGACATCCGGATTTGCTTGCTGGTGAACAAATAAAACCTGGGAATCGAGGTGGATTTCAGACCCGCTCATTGCAATCACAATTAATCAAGCAGTTTTTGAAAATCTTCTCGAATTGGCGGTTGACAAAAGACAACACAAGTAGCACTATTTCAAAAATGTTTTTTTTTTTTTTTTCATTTTCATCTACCCCTCTATCGCTTCACTTGAAACCAGACAGCTGAAATCAGCTTGGGATGAAATGAGTGAAATTATCATTGTGAGTCTGCGTTTACACGATATCTGAGGTAAAGGCAAACGTACAAAGGAGAGGATGCAAATACTAGATGAAATTTTCCCAATCCGGTCCTTCAATTACACATTGTTGTACACATTCAACGTTCAAATTTGTTGCATAGCGATCCTGCCCAACACGATTCTGCGATCGATCCTGCGATCGACCAGCAACCTGCAAAGGTTCCTTTAAAGCAAACGATTTTTATGATCTGAATCTAAATTTAAATCAAGATTTATCAAGATTATGATAAAGTATTTTTATGTTCGTTTCCAAACACATTTTCAATGAGAATCGTTTAATAAATAACTCTATCTGCATATGAGATTAGAACAATTTTTTCCCTATAATCATGGAATAATATTAGATTTTTCATTATAAAAACTTTTTCAAAGTAAATTTAATTTACATTTTTCCCGAAGACATTGCTTTTGCTTACCGAAATCACTCTCTACTGATCCGACCAGGAATTTCACATCATTGCAATTGCATTGAGCCTCTCATGCTAATTGCTGTCAGCAGGACGTGCTGAGCATGTTATGACGGGTCGTGTTTATCGTTTAGTACACCTTTCGTACTACGAGGTTTGAGTTATTGCTGGAAATGTTGCGATTCCCGTTGGAAAATGTGGTTTTAAAAGCTAAACTCTTAAATATGGGACCACCACCAGACATATTTGAATTGGTATCGGAAAAGTCCCCTTTCATGTCCGAGCATAAAAACTTATGCTTGGGTAAAGCATGGAAATAAAACGTTTATTTATTTATTTATTATGGACATTTTCCAATTTTTTCTATTATGGTTCTTCTTAATTCCCTAATTAATTCAAGTTATATAATTTTTCCCCCACCATCTTTTCATCACTTCTTCTTCCACTTGCTCATATAATTTTTACAATTCTTCCTCTTGTTTTTTGTCATACAAGTCCTTTTTTGCCATAGTTTTTTTAATCGGAAATGATCGTAAAAATGGTCCGATTTAGTCCATTTCCAATAGGGTTTTTGTCTTGAGCTGAAACCTGACAGAGATCGTACCACATATCGCAAATAGATTGAACTCAACAGTACAGGTTTTCTCATTAGATACATGGACGGATCGATTCAGAGAATAATTTCGAATTTCATATGACAAGCTATGGGCCTACTTTAATCTGCCTTCGCTTAACGCACCATTGAACAAAATCGAAGCTCGATAATCTATGCTTCTTCTTCTAAATATGTTTATCATCAATTTTAGTTCTGAATCTGATTTTAGTTTTTCTTCAATATAAGAGTTTTTGTTCTTCATTTCTTGCCGACTTCATATGCGCGCAGATGCTAATTCCGCTATTTTTTCAATGTGCTTACAAGTGCTTAAGACTGTTTAAGACTGTTTAATAAAATTTTATAGTAAGATTTTTAAGCGTGAATTATGCGCCATCGACGAACCTGCAATTATCTCTACTCTTCGCGGTGTATATCTTCTTTGATAACCCACAAGAGATATTTTTTTATTGTCTTCACTTCTATTTATCGTTCGCTTATGAATGTCATTGCTCCAGTCAACAAAATATTGGCTTTAAGAGAAAAGAATTTATTCTCTGGCTAAATTTACAATAATAATAATAATAATAATAATTTTACAAGTTAGCCTAAAATTAGACTGCCACAATTTTTATTATCAAATTAAACAACGCCCTCGCTTAATTCCCTGTTGAAAGGTAAAGCACAGAGTCGCTTATAATAAATAAATGGTTAAAAGCCCAACTTAACAACTTAAATGTTAACGCCAATCAGCTATGTTAAACGCGCAACTTACCAGACCAGAAGGGTCCAACTCTGTAAAATAACATTATCTAATGGACCAACTCTGTAAAATAACATTATTTAACGGACCAACTCTGTAAAATAACATTATCTAACGGACCAACTTAACAAAAGCCGTCGGCAAAACAAAAACTTAACATTAGCAAATCTTTCTTGTTTTTGTTTGCTTGACATTTATGGCTATTGCAACACCCTGTTTCTTTAAATCCATAAAATATGTTATAACATAATGAATGTGTGTTCACATGTACCACATATTCAATGAATTCAATGAACTTATGAGTATTTATTTCTTTTGCTATACGTTGCAATTAACTGGCAGCAGTCTCAATGGATCAATTAATTTGAATTAAATTCGCTTACTGGACACATTCATATTCATCTTACACGATGCAATTGATATTTAAGGCGCATCGCGGCTTTAATCTCGCATTTTATTAAACACTTGGTGTTATGATAATTTTGTCTTTATTTATTTATTTATTTTTTTTCTTTTGTGGACAAGTGATGACTTTATGTTCCACGTATTGGGCAAGCAGTAAATTAATTTTTTATGATGTTTGGAAAGGTAAACGGTAACGGTACACTTGGCATTTGACTTTTGACAGACAATATATAATAATTGTTGTTGTAGTTTTTTTAAGGAATTTAATTTTAATGTAACGCTTAAGATCTCACCCGTTAACGTTTTATTGCCTAATAAATAATTTTTAATTATGAAAATTCAAAAAGTAATAATGACCTTGAGTTTTATAAGTCATTCAGTTTGTAACGATTGTAATGAATGACCATAGCTTGTGCTATGTGTATGTGATATCATTTCCAAGTTTGCATCTTAAGTCTTTTTGTCTTGACTTTTCAAACGTATAATCTAAAGAGATTGCCATTAATCTTAATTACATTACAAATTGCGTAACCAGTATAAATACAATTCTAAATCTAAACCAGTAAAATAATTTCATATTAAATGTATTGATGATGAAAAGCGTTTGTTATTGCATTCAATATAATTCATTTTTGTACAACTTTTTACAGAAAAAAAAGGTCAATTTAAAAATACGTTTTTGTTTTAATTAACCAAGTAAAATACAATAAAAAAAAAAAAAAAAACTCAAGTTCATCCAGTTTTTTAAGTGCACATCTTCACAGTCAATGTCGTTCTATAGCAG